ATATTTGTCAAGTAGACTTGCTGTCCATCTGGCTGGGCAGAATTTCCAAATGTATAAATAGCTAGAGGTGGCAAACCTGCGATATGCCTCAGTGGCCTGTTTCCTCAGCTGCAGGTGTGTGTTCAGGTATCCGAGCATGATGAAGGAGTCTGGGTCTGTCTGAACCCTCTCTGGTGTGAAACAAAGAGAGCACACTGAGCTTCATTACCTCACTTCATCTTTAAATAATTTGTCATTGTCACATGGATCATTTCCTTAATATTTAGGAAGAAACACATTTTAAATTTTATCTAGCCATTCCACCTGCATTTCTGGTGAAATCATTCAATATATCAGGGGTCTTTAACTGCTTTCAGGCTAAATATCCTTTTAGCCTGGCCTATAAAACATGCATATAGTGCCATATTAATATATTTACATACTTCATAATGGTAACAGATATAGATTATGTATTAGTTGTTTTTTTAATAAGAGTGAGACAAAGAAACTTACTTTTAACTTTGGTTAAAGACAATATTGTATTATTTATTTATTTAACAAAATTGGTTTGAGATCAGCCAATAAATGACATAAATACCCTTGCAATATCTTAAAACAGTATGCTGTGTTTGTGTTCTTCTCATACCGGTGTACTTGCTCAGAGCCACCTGGGCAGCAGAGACAGCGTTCATCTGGACTATGTTGTAGAGGTAGATCTCTGAGTCTCTGTTGCTCCTGTCCAGCAGTGTGGAGTAAACCCAATATGCATAACCCTTCACTCCCTCGGTCTAATATCAAATAAACATGTTACTGCAAGTAGAACATTGATCAATAATCTGAACCTAAACAAAAAACTACACAACTGTTCAAAAGTTTTGGTCAGTACATGCTGCTGATAATTCAGCTTTGCCATCAAAGGAATAAATTACATTTAAAAATATATGCAAATAGAAAACAGCTCATTTAAATTGAATTAATATTACAGTAATATTGTAATTACTGTAATATCACTGTTTTTTAAACAAATAAATGCAGCCTTGGAGAGCATAAGAAACTTCTTTTAAAAAGCGTACAGACCTCAAACTTTTGAATAACTGTGTATATTTCAGAAATGATTAGACATACATGAGTGCTCAGTTCTGTGGTGTGTCTGAAAAGATCCATGGTGTCATAACTGCCCACTGACTCAGCAATCAGGGCCTGTATAATGAGAAAGAAGTTAGATGTTCTGTGTGTCATACTTGAATAAAAAAGGGCACTGGATGTTATATGAACTATCGGTCTGAACTAAAGTCTACCTGTCCGATCCAGCAGTTCACATAGAGGGGTTCTAGAGACTGAGCAATCTTAAAAGCTTCATGCGAGAGCTAAAAAAAAATAATGTAGAAAAAGGACTATTAGCGTGGTTCTCTAAATCATGTTGTCAAGCTAATAACTTAACAAAAATCATATTACCTCTATATTTCCCTTCTTCAGATACAAAGCACCAAGGTTGGTCCATGCAACCACATTCTGAAAAATAACCAGGAGATACATTAGTTGCATCAAAACAAATGTTTAAAAGGTGAAGAAAGAGTTTATTTTTCTTGCATTACTTACATTTGACTCCGCTTTTACCGATTTGATAAAGCAGTGTTGTGCAAGTGCAAAGTTTTCTATTCCTAAAATATAAAAGCAGAATATACAATTAACACAAGAATAGTCCATCACAACACCGTTATATAATCCAGACTAATGCGATTATGCACATCAAATGTATATTTTTTATCTACCCTTTGCCATGGAGACCACCCCGAGGGCATTCCAGTATGTGTGATTTGCACTGTCGAGCATGATCGCCTTCTTCACACACTGTCAGAACAGAGCCAAACCAAAGCAGCCTGTTAACACATCTTCATGAAAGCATTACAAATGAAGGTCAGGTCATGTACCTGTATGGCTTTCTCCAGCAGAGGCTGCTGATCCTCTTCAGGATTGAGGCAGCTGAGCAGTCTGGATTGGTGGTAGTAGTTCAGGCCAAGGTCACACCACAGACTAGGGGCCTCCGGCATGAGTTTCAAAGCATGACCAAAGCACCTGGTAAAACATAGGAATATTACTTTTTTTTTTTTTTTTTTTTTTGGAACGCCCCCACTTCGCCATTTAGTTTAATATGGTTCTACTCTTTTACCTTTCTCCTAGAGTGAGGAGCTGTCTCTGGTCCAGTGTATGGCCCTGATCAAGTGGATCCATTCCACATAGAGCTCCAGGCACCAGCACTTTGGCTCGGTTTGGGGACACAGTTCTGGAGGTGGTGCAGGCATCACCTAGTAACTTCCACAGACACGACAGGTCTGGCCTTTGCTTTAAAGCTCTGGAATGTTGAAACAAAGATTGAGATTTGATCAGTACCTGCTGGATGACATCCATCCAACTCACCTCACATGGTCAGACACCACTTCACAAAATAAAACACAAATATTCCCTTTACCCAGTGAACCTTCCTGTTTACCTTAAAAGGTAATGGATGGCATTCTGTATCAAATCTACAGCTCTTCCATCAAGATAGTCATCAAGTGCACTTCTAGCCAAGGCTAGCAAGCATTCACCCAGACCTGAGAATATGATAAGGATGCTTTATGAAACACTATAAATTTGAATACTGGATGAAATAGTCATTAACCTTAGAGATTACTGCAGAAATCACTCAAACCTTTCAATGCCGGCACGTAGTCCTCCTGCTCTAAGATCTGCCTGTACTCTGCAGCGGCCTCTTTAAACCGGCCGAGGATCTGTTTGATGGCAGCGGTCTGATAGAGGCTGTAGACGGAGGTGGGCTGCAGAGTATGTGCTTTATCGAATGCTTTCAGGGCTGCTGTGAAACTCCTGCGGTTAAGGTAAGCCTCACCTAAACATTCCCAGCACACCCAATCCTGAGGATCTGCCCTCAATGCCGCCTGCAGACTAAAACCAAAGCAGAATCATGGCTAACTTTTAGACTTTTGGTGTACAAAGCCCTTAAGATATGAAAATAAAATAAAATAAACCATATACTTAACATCTTTACATTTTATTATCTAAACATTTTTAACCCCCACATTTAACTTTTGGTGAAGTCTTCTCTGGAGAAAGTGGGCCTTGAAGGCTAAATTAATTGTGGGATTCTGGGAAATGAACTCTTCTTCCAGTCTGGTATACGAAATGAAGGCTAATTTATGAAAAACAATTAAACAAATAAAAAAAAATTGCAAACATTAAACAAGTATTACAATTTTTAGCAAATATGTGCTACCTTAATTCAAATTCAGGAGTTGAATTCAAAAGCTATTTTCTTAAAGGAACAGTTCACCCTAAATGGAAATTGTCATCATTTCCTCATCATTTACTTACATCGTTCCAAACCTGTATGAGTTTCTTTCTTATGTTGAACACAAAAGAAGATATTTTGAAGACATTTGAAGAACCAAACAGTTGTTGGTCCCCACTGACTTCCATAGTAGCGAAAGGAATACAATGGAATTCAATGGGGACCATCAACTGTTTGATTACCAGCATTCTTCAAAATATCTTCTTGTATGTTCAACATAAGAAAGAAACTCATACAGGTTTGTAACGACACAAGGGTGAGTAATTCTTTTATGTTCAACATAAGAAAGAAACTCATACAGGTTTGTAACGACACAAGGGTGAGTAAATGATGACAAAATTTTCATTTCTGGGTGAAATATCCCTTTAATATATTTTTAAATGGCACAAAATACTTGAGGATGTAATTCAATGATATAGGCCTACTATTAATAACATTTTAGAAAACCCTATTAACGTCTTGCATCGTTATAACTGCCAATGTTAATGCAGCTACATTAAATACGATCTTTAAAATATCTGCTGAGCTCACCATCCAGGGCCAGTTAAACAAATCTTATTACCACTTATGCTTTATAGCTGAAATCAATTCACTTACTCTGCAATGGCCTGTTGATGCTGGCCAATCTTGAGGTGGTAGAGCCCTCTCCTCATCCAAGCCCATTTAGCAGAGCCAGGAGTGGCTCTCTCTGTTACAGACTGCAGAACAGTCAGAGCTGAGTCCTAAGAGCAGAGAACACATCACACAGTCAATAAACCCCCTTTACAGGAACTCTGTGTCTTCTACAGCATCTACAACAAGTTCTTGTTGCAACTTTGAAGGGGAAAAAAAAATAAGCAATGGATACCCTCAATGGGACCATCTTGGATTACAAGACTTTTTAACACTCACCATGTCCCCCTGCTCCATGCTGAGGTCTACAGTAGCCGCTCCAGACTCTGCATCAGAGGAATCCAGCTCAAACGCTCTCTTATAGCAGCCTCTGGCTCTGCCCTGATCTTTTGCTACCTCTCTATAGTAATGACCCAGAAAACGAAACACTGAACCGAGATACGGGTCCAGTTTAGCAGCCTTAAAATAACAGAAAACAAGTCATCACTTATTTCTATTCCAAGAGAAAAGACTCTGGAGTCTATATGCAAGGATAAAGAGCATAAGGTCTGATATTGCTGGCCTTACCTTGAGTAAATGTGTATGGGCTTTGCTGCGATCCCTTCGTATTTCCTCTCCCATGTTCCAGAACAGGCACCCCATCAGGAAGAACAACTCCCCATTATCTGGGCTACCGGATAAAGCCTCTAGAAAGCTGTGAGACAAAGAGAAGACGAGAGGATCAGTGTTTAGTGTTTAAATCTATTTCGGGTTTTTATACTGCATGCGTGTGTGTGTTTAGAAGGGGTTTCACACCTTTCTTCAGCTTGTTTGTGCTGTTCTTTCGCAACATGCACCAACCCCTTCAGAGTGAGACCCTCCACAGATCCTGGGTGAGAGCTCAGCAGCTCAGCTGAAACCTGTAAGGATCATTTCATTTAAACAAGATCTGGTCTACTTAGCTTTTTTTTAAACATCTAATATCCTAAAATCTATCATGTTATTTGAAGATTCAATTCCAGTAATTCCTTTCCTGTTAAAAGAAAATGTTTCACCTGAAATGCTTCCTCAGTTTGGCCTTTTTGCAAGTGGGCTCTTCCTTTCAAAGCTAAAAGCACTGGGTCATTTTTGGCATCTGAAATCTAAAAGGAGTCATCATGAACATTATGTAAATCAAATAGATTATCAAACAATTATAAATATTCATTTATCTTTTTTTAAGATATGAAACCTTTTATTCAGCAAGGATGTATTAAATTGTAAAAACTACTCTGTGAATTGTAAATGCTGCTCTTGTGAACTTTGTTCATCAAAGAAAAAAATTTAATTAAATAAAAAATGTATTTTTGTGTTTCCACAAAATTATTAAGCAGCACAACATCTTTCAACATGTTTTCAACATTCGTAATTATTCATAATGTTTATTTAGTTCCAAATCAGCATATTAAACTGATTTATCATGTGACACTGAAGACTGCAGTAATATCTGCTGAAAATTCAGCTTTACCATCACAGGAATAAACTAAAATATTAAAACAGAAAAGAGCTATTTTACATTGTAATAATATTTCACAATAATACCGTTTCACTGTATTTTTTAGCAAATGCAACCTTGGTGAGCTTTTAAGACTTCTTTCAAAAAAATCTGTTGTTAGACTGCAGATCTGTGTCAGTCTTTGGTTTAAAACGATACCTGTGTAAGGATCTGCAGAGCTTCCTCAGCATCCTGGTCTCTTCCTGTCCTTACCAGAGCCTCTAGTTTCAACCTCTGCAGCTTATGAGTCCAATCATCAGAGTTCCCCACACTCGACTTCAGCCCTGAAGACACAAAACAGAATATTTCTGAGAACAGCCCTTTTCCACCCTGTTAGTGCACCTGATTGAGTAGATGTCATGTTAGCTGTGTTTTAGATGTGTAGTTATTTTTATCATGCAGTACCTTGGCTGGAAGCTGTGGCACTGTCAGAGTATTTATGCATTTTTAGTTGAGCCAGAGCAAGATTATACCAGCCAATGATGGAGGAGCGCATACGCTTCAATCCTGCAGAAAAAACACAACAAAGGAGTTAAACACATTATTTGTGATTTACATTGTACAGTATAGTTAGATACTGCTAGGAGTTTAATTAATGTTGTATAGCTGAACATGAACAAAAATTAAAGAGTTATTAAAACACATTTTTAGTTATCAAAATGAATCAAGAAATGCATTCTATTAATTTGATACACTGCATTTCTTGCATTATATACTTGACCTCTGGTCTGAAACATTCTTATCAAGAAGCTTGAAAAACATTGATAACCTCCATCCATATTGGAGCAAATCACTAAACATCTGTGAATTCTTTATGGTATTTATAAACTCACCTAGACTAATACTTTTGATGGCATCCTCATATTTTTTATCCTGACAAGCTTTAATACCAAGACCAAAGTGAGCGTGTGAGTTGTTTGGATCCAGTTCCGAGAGACGGCTGAAACAGCACGCAGCTTCCTCACTGCAGTCACCTACCAGGATCATCAGAGACAAGATCAATTATCTGAGAGCTGTGTTTATTTAGAAATACTCAACATGAGTTTTATGTTTTCAGAAACAGGATTATTTTTGTACTTACTTTGTACTTTTGTATTTGTTCAAAAGTTTGGAGTATGATGTTTCTGATATAAGTCTCATAAAGACAATTTATTTGATTAAAAATACAGTAAAAACTATAATATTATGAAATATTATTACATATAAAAACAACTGTTTTCTATTTCAATGAATTAAAAAATACAAGTATTTTAACAAATCCTTCCTGATCATGATCCAATCATTCTGATATGCTGATTTGGTGCTTTAAAGAAAATCTTACTGACCCCAAACTTTTGAACTGTAATGTAGATAAAAAAAAAAAAAGGATAAACAATGAAATAGGAGTATTTGACAATTTTGTGTGTGTGTGTGTGTGTTTTTTTATCCCATTGACTTCATTTGACCTAAACTGACCTGTTCTGATGTAGTGCTCACTGAGGGCCTCTAGAGGGTAGGAGTGTGTCGGATAGCGGGACAGCGTGGCATCACAAACTTCCTTTAGTTTGGCCACCTCATGAGGAAGCTGCAGAATACATAAATGAAACATTTGCTTTGGTCCAGTCATTATTATGATGAATATTACAATAATTGTGGCATATACAGCTTGCCAACCTTGGAAAGACATTTAATGTAGTCCTGTGAAAGGCTCCTGTGGGCTTCACTGGGCACATCTATCATCAATTGCAAAGCTCTTTCAAATGCTGATATCAGCTGTGGAGCAAAGAAATACACACTGTAAGCTTTGTAAAAATGCATGTGGTGACACTAAATTGTGGCAATGTACAAAAAAAGCACTTTTTTTCCACAAAATTCTCAAAAAGCAGTATTTGAGACAGGTGAAATCGACTGACGTGTTGTTGAGTCTCATTGTCCTGATCCTCAACCGTGTCCTGCAAGAGTCTGGTCATCTCCCTCCACAGCTCCAGCAGCTCTAAATCCTCCACCCCTTCCTCTGCCTCCCTCACCTGGATTAACCTCCTCCACACTCGGGCCACCTATAGGTAGAGTAGCAAACATTTCACACATATGCAGATATAAAGCCTGATGGTGACTTTAGAAATAATGTGTAGATTATTTTGTGTAGGTAACAGACAGTGAAGTTATATCCACTTAAATCTTAAATCTAGTTGTAACATCAAGTCCTTATATTTAAAGATCACACCTGTAAATAGTTCTTCTCCGACTGATAGACTTCCACCAACTTCTTGCTCACTTCAAAACATTTCGCTTTGTCTGAGCTGCAAGCGCAGAAAAGAAATCAAGTAATAGCATTATTTTAATCTTAAAAAAAAGATATATCACTGGTTCTGAAACAAGAATCTGATCATTGCCTTTAAGTGTATTTTGGTTTAATGCGTGATGTGAGTGATAATGGTGTATAATACAATAAAAAAATTTGCTTTTTTGAGAAAACTTTAGAAACCAGCTAAAAAATGGTTTTAAGTCAATTATTTCTGTCTTTTGCTGTAGTGTGTCAGCAGGAAATATCAGTTTACATTTCCAAACATTCATTGTGCTATTAATTGTAATAATCCAGTGAGATTTGTGTTTGCACAAGGAGTCTGACAGCAGCCAGTGCTCCACACAGAGATCTGATCTCATCATCATCATCAGTCTGTCTGGAATCACATGAAGAAACAGAACAAACTGAGACAGACTCAATCCAGAAGAACTGTGGCAACATCTCCAAGATGCTTCAAGAAAGCTACCTGCAAAGCTACAGTACTGTTAAAAGTTTTAGACACTTGTGTAAAAATGCTGTCAAAAATAATGTCATAAATAGATTTTCTTTATCAATTAACCCCTTAACTGTCACTCACATTTTTAAACATAGACGTGAAAGTGCACGATCCAAACTTAAATTTTTATAATTCATGAACGAAAACATTTTGTAACATGATATTGATGTACCATTTTCATGGTAATGCAGTGTTTGATTTTAAAATGGGTTTCAAATGATGAATTTTGAGATTTAAAGTTTTCAATTGATAAATAATTTCTGATGATTTCTAAAGTGTGATAGAGAAAAAGGCAACAAAGAAGACTTTTTTTGACAAAGGTCAGAACTCCTGTTATGATGTAGATTTTTGAGGTGCACTCTTGTCAAAAAGTAATAATTAAAGGAGGAAAATTAATTAAAGGAGTCTTAGACCTTTCCAACGATATATAGTTTGTCATGATTAGATTAGGATGTAATTGTAATATAGTGAAGTAAACTTAGGCGTCCCACAGAGGGGCGGGTGACAGTTAAAGGGTTAACTTCTATTAACTAAATTAAATCAACATTTGGTGTGAGCATCCTTTGTGTTTAAAGCAGCTTTTGCCCTCAGTGCACATGTGCATAGTTTTTCAGGTAGCTTTGCAGGTAGGTTTATATATACAAAAGAAACTAATTGTTTATTAATTCAAATTCTCCAAGTAACAAATATGGCAATGACACTCTCTCAGATTACGATGTAAAAAAAAAAAATCTTAAAATTATTGATATTTCTGAGCTTTGAACTTTTATTCTGTTTCCCAGGAAAAGATGTGCTCCTCTCTCACTTCTCATATCTACGATAACCAAATATAAAAGTTTTGGAGACAAATAAACAACTCATACAAAAATGACTGGCATGACTATAATAATGTAAGTGCAAAGAATATCCCTGATTTTAATACTTTTTTTTTCATTTATTGTGAAGTGAAATTTAAAGCGTCTGGGTAGGGGAAAATTCCAAAATGTAAGAAATTCTAGTAAATTTAACATGAATACTTTTAAAAATGCAATAAGGTAAATAAAGTGGCAAAAGATTATAACTGAATAATTACTCTATAATTAGATTTTTTCCCCCTTTAAAATTATGCTAAGAGAAAAGAAGACCACTTTACTTACGTTTCATACAGTGTAATAAGTTTCTGGTAAATCTTTGGCAGCTCAGCTTTGAAATCTGCTTGGTCACTTTTTTCATACAGATTTGCTAAACCCTGTAAAAGAAATCCACATCTAGTAAAAATATATTACTGAGTCCAGCAGTGCTCAATGCCATCAAGACAAATTTAACAAACAGCTAACAAACTGTGTCCCAAGATAAACACTACATTTGGACTATTGCTTATAGTTTATATACCACGACTGACCTGCCATGCAAGCAGTTGCTCTGGCTCCAGTTCAGTGGCCTTTCTGTAGGCGGTCTGTGCCTGATCCAGCTGCTGCAGCTCTGTAGCTGCCACTCCAATAAACACCCAGGCATTATAGTTATTCTTCTCAAGTTTGAGAACAGCCTGGGGTGCACAAATATAGTTTAACTTGAGAGACACATGCTTAACTTACACACCCATGCAAATACAGTCAATCAGGAGAAAAGATGAGATGGAAGCTATCTATAAGTCTACAGAGATAAAGAAAGTTATTTACTGTATGCTGACAGCTGGAAGTAAACACTTACCTTACAATGTTTCAAAGCTTCTTTAAACCCTTTATTTTTGATGGCTTCTCTGGCACTTTTTAGTTCAGCTTTTACTTCTTTACTGGACATTTTCTTAATCAAATCATTTGACAAAAATTGATGTTAATGAAGCAGCAGCAGTAAAGGATATTTACATTAGGTATGTTATGTTGCCTAATAACTTGCTGTCATTAGACATAGAGAATTATTCTTTAAAGCGTGCAAAAAAATAACTAAACAGTCGTATAAATACACTTATTTTAAGGGCAAATTTTGTATTTGTATAATGTTAATGTAAGAAATGCACATACGGCCGAACTTAGCTAGTTTCCATTCGGCAAGAGGCAAAAAGCGCATGCGTGAAGTGATACTTAACGCGACGTCATTATACCGCGACAAGCATTGTTTTTATTCCCCTATAACATAATAAAACAAATCTATTCGTGTCCGTGCCTTACATTCATTTTATATGTATAATCCTAGAGAGGCGACTGGTGTAATCTCTACTAAACATGATTATGTTTGGAGGCGGAACCAAAGTTAAGCAGCCAATCCCTGAAGGGTTGCCCGCACACGGACCAATTGGTGAACTCACCAATGCAGCCCGGGTTTAGTGTGTCCCATGTGTTGCACATGTGAGAGACGCGTTGAAAACTGTACAGTGGACGAAACTGTAAATTAATGAATTAATTGAATATATCCTTCTAAAAGCTCACATTTCTGTCAAAATGAAGAAGAGAAAGGAATCGACTGAAACTGAAACGGAAGATCAGGTTCGTGCGGTTTCACGCAGTTTTCTTATCACATTACTTAGCAAAGTTGTATTTTTTTGTATTTTAACTTAAAATACATAAAATATGTTTAAAGATTTACTTTTGTTGATATATATACACAGATGGAGTTACTAGATAACTCTCAGAATGAAGAAGAAAATGAGAAAAATAGTGCAAAACAGTCAAAGGACTCCAAACGAAAAGCGAAGGGCACCGTGTCAGATGGTGGGGTCTTACGGCCAGTCAAGCTGTCCAAAAAAGAGCTGTACAAAGCCCCAACTGTGGAAGAGCTCAACCAGCTGAAAGAAGCAGAGAATCTCTTCCACTGCAGCATATTGAAAATGCAGGTCAGAAATTATTTACATTTTACTGTCTTTGTATGTTCTTAACATCTTACTTAACATGTTTAAACGTGTCGTATCAACACTGAGCTGCTCAGTGCATGGCATGCCTGTGAACTGTGGATGAATGTATATTTTGAGCTTTTCTTATCGCTGATTCATATGGATGATGTTCAGATGGAGGAACTGCTGAAAGAAGTGGCCCTTAGTGAGCACAGGAAGAAGCTGGTGGACTCCTTTGTGCAGCAGATCACAGATTTCCTGCAGTGTGTGCCTGAATCTGAAGTTGTGGAGGTCAGAAATCTGTGTGGCATTCCCATCAGCAGCAGCAAAAGTGCTGATTTGTACTGATACTCTATGGTAGTTGGCAATATAATTTTTCTTAATAGTTTTCTCTTTCTCTCTAGTTGGATGATATTTCATGGTTGTCAGGTGTTGAAGTCCCATTCCTCCTCGTCCCATCGACAGCAAAAGGCAAATTTCACATGGAGCCTCCTGCATCAATCAACCTGGTGGGCAGTTATCCACTGGGCATGTGCATCAAACCCAAAGTCTCTGTGGACTTGGCTGTTACCATTCCAGCTGTAAGTTATACCTCAAAAACAACTTTTCTGCCTGTCTGTTGGTATATACTGTATATAAAATATATAACACGTGTGTGTATGTCTATAAATTCGTCTGTCTATATATCCATACATCTGTCTGTCTCTCTGTCCTTATATCTGTCTGTCAAACTGTCTGTGTGTCTGTCTGTCTATCCATCTGTCTGCCTGTCTTTCTGTCTAATCATCCATCCATACATGGATATGTCTGGCTGTAAATATCTAGGCCTATCTGTCTGTCTCTCTGTATATGCATCTGTCTGTGCCAATCTATATATGTATAGTCTATAAATCTATCTATCTATACATTCATCCGTCCGTCTGTCTGTATATATTTGTCTGTCTATAAATCTGTCTGTCTGTCCATCCATCTATGCATGGATATTTTTCTGTCTATATATCCATCTACCTGTCTGTATATATCTATCTGACTATATATCAACTGTGCGTCTGCCTATGTATGTGTCTGTCTGACTGTCTGTCTCTCTGTCTGTCAGTCTTTGTCTAAACTGTGCATTAGTACATTCTGTTACAATATGGTGTATTTTCTCTTTGAAGTCTATTTTGCACCCAATGGATGCCATTAACCAGCGGTACTCTCGAAAGCGAGCGCTGTATCTGGCTGGCCTGGCGCGGCATCTCTCCTTCGCAAAGTGTGTGGGTTCACTGCACTACTCGTGTCTACATGGCAACCGACTTCGCCCAATCCTACTACTCAAACCCCCAGGTACAATTGTTGTAAGAGTAGTTTGTGGTACTCATTAGCTCCTCGAATTTTGCATCACATTTACTTGCAAGTGCTTTCATGCCAAAGCGTGTATGCTGTTATTATCTGCTCAAATCGTTTTAGCTCCGAAGTTAATTGCTTTTAGCACACCCTTTTCTTTTGCTGCGTGGAGTACACTAATAGAAGCAAACCTGTGGAAAAAACTGAGATTGATGGTCTTACTCAGGAGCGTGATTATATTCCTGTTTGTTTTAAACTGAAGTGATCATGTAACCTTTGTGTGTGGACTTTAGGTAATGACAGCAGTAAGGTCACGTTAAGGATTCATGCCATTCCACCACCGGACTTCCTCAAACCTAGCCGCTTCCATCCTCAGAAGAACAACATCAGGACTGAGTGGTTTACTGGTGTTGCCAATACGCAGCAAGGTAATGAGGAATTTTCTGAGATCAATTTCAGTTTCATGACTGAGGTAGCAAACAATAATGATCATATTTCTGTCATTTTTATGATACAGAGAGCAGTGAGCCCCCAACTCCTCATTATAACAGCACAGTTCTTGGAGATCATCTCCCACTGTCACATCTTCAGTTCCTGTCGGCCATCAGTGCACAGTGTCCTGCTTTTGGAGAGGGTGTGGCCCTCCTCAAAGTGTGGCTAAGACAGCGGGAACTGGACCAGGTAGAACCACATTATTTCTGTGTGTGTTTGTTCGTATGTTAATTTAATCAATTTAATTTTATTATCTGTGTCTTTTTCAAATTCCTTGTGTGTGTAAGCACTTGGCAATAAATGTTATTCTTATTCTTAATCTAAAGGTTCTCATTCTGATATTGTAGTTTTAGTAGATAGTTTGTATTTAGCTAAAGTGATAGTTCACCCAAAAATGAAAATTCTGTCATTAATTACTCACCGTCATGCCGTTCCAAACCCATAAGACCTTCGTTCACCATCTGAACAAAAAACAAAAAGCTACGAGAATACTTTTTGTGTGCAAAGAAAACAAAAATAATGACTTTATTCAGCAATTTCGTCTCTTCCGGTCAGTCTCTTTGTTTCTGTTGCTTCTTTAGGGTGCAGGTTGTTTCTGCGGCTTCCATGCATCAATGTTAATGGCATATCTTCTGTCCACACATAAAGTGGGCAAAACCATGAATCCCTACCAGCTGTTGAGGAATGCACTGAACTTCTTTGGTAAGAGAGGTCAAAATGATTTTCGTAACTTGTTATTTTGGTGGTTATATATGTGTATTAGTGCTGTCAAACGATTAATCGCATCCAAAATAAAAGCTTTTGTTTTCTTAATATATATGTGTATACTGTGTATATTTATTATGTATATATAAATACAAACACATGCATGGATATATTTAAGAAAATTATGTTATGTTTATATCTTAAATATATTTATATATAATAAAATAATATAAATATATCAATGTATATACAAAATAATGACTTTATTCAGCAATTTCGTCTCTTCCGGTCAGTCTCTGCCACCATTCAAGAGAGTACCAAGACACATGCGTGTGCATTCCTCTGCTTGTAAACAAGGCGCAGCGCAGCCGGCTCCTGCATCAGCAGCACCACACGCATACGTCGTGGTGCTCTTCTGAACGCGCATCAACTGACACGGAAGAGAAGAAATTGTTGAATAAAGTCATTATTTTTGTTTTCTTTGTGCACATCTTAATATATATGTGTATACTGTGTATATTTATTATGTATATATAAATACAAACACATGCATGGATATATTTAAGAAAATTATGTTATGTTTATATCTTAAATATATTTATATATAATAAAATAATATAAATATATCAATGTATATACATGTAAATATTTTTAAAATGTATACTATATGTGTGTGTATTTATATATACATAATAAACACAGTACACATACATATATTATGGCGCATCAACTGACACGGAAGAGAAGAAATTGTTGAATAAAGTCATTATTTTTGTTTTCTTTGTGCACAAAAGGTATTCTCGTAGCTTCCTAAAATTACGGTTGAACCACTGATGTCACATGGCCTATTTTATTGATATGCTATGTTTCTGGACCTTGACTGTGATAGCTCCGTTGCTGTCTATGGAGGGTTAAATTAAAATATCTTAATTTGTGTTCTGAAAAGCTTCATAAAATTAAGGTTGAACCACTGTTCCACATGGACTGTTTTACCGATGTCCTTACTACATTTCTGGACCTTGAACTTGGTAGTTACCTAGCTGGTATGCAGGGTCAGAAAGCTTTCGGGTTTCATCACAAATATCTTAATTTGTGTTCTGAAGATGAACGAAGGTCTTAGGGGTTTGGAACGACATGAGGGGTGAACTTTTGGGTGAACTATCCCTTTAAGTTGGAGGTACAATGAAACATTTAGCAGAACTTTAGATTTGTTTGACATTTAATTAATATTGTATATTTGTTTAATGCCATTTCTTTCCACAAAAATATTAAACAACTGCCAGACTGCTTGTTCTTGCAAACTTTTCTTTTTTTAAAGATACATTTTTTTTCTGCAGTCAGACAAAAGGAACAAGCAACACATACTATTTATATATACATAATAAACACAGTACACATACATATATTATGTAAACAAAAACTTATTTTGGATGCGATTAATCGTTTGACAGCACTAATGTGTATTAAGCAATATATCTGCTTTTTGCTTTCACATTTTCAGCTTCCACAGATCTGACAGAGAACGGTATCACCTTGGCTAAAAACCCAGACTCAAAAGCGGTGAGCAGAAGTGACTCAAGCATTTATTTGCTGTTTTTAGCCTGTTTTGTCTTGGTTGAATCACCATGCC